CTTCCTGTTGAGGTTGATGGTGCCCTATGGAGTCATTATAGGCAGTTGTGCTTTTGAGTGCTGCTTAGTACGTCTCAGACCTGCCCTCTTGTTGGGAATATATACAGTCTCAAAGCGTTTTATTCAAGTTTATCCACAATGTCACAAAGCTTTTGCCACTGGTGAACTCGCATAGGTCAGGGTGCCTCAGGTGACTTCATGACACTTTTCTCTAAACCTGTCTATGTCTAGTTTTCACAGGTGATTTGTTTTTGGGAGCAACTGGTTGTTCTGTCATGGCGTTTTTTTTTTCATGGCCAACGAGTGCAAATTTTTTCTACACTATTAAAAATAAATTTTCTTGAATGGCATCTATGGTTCCACAAAGAAACTTTAACATCCATGAAACCTTTTCATTTCACAAAAGGGTCTTTATAGTGAAAAAAGGATCTTTAGATTTTCAATGTTCTTCGCACTAAGAAAAAAAGGTTCTTTTAAGAACTGTTCACTGAAAGTTTTTTTGGGGGAAAATTGTTCTTCCATGGCATGAACGCAAAAACCATCTTTTGGAACCTTTATTTTTAAGAGTATACATGGTTTGTACCCCTATTTTATTTATCGTTGTAAAGGAAAATAAGATAAAAGAGAAAAAAATGCAAAAATTAAAGAATCTTTCAGTAGTTGACCCAACTTGGAAAATGTCATGCACATAAGCATAACAGTTTAAAGGGGTCATATGATGTGATTTCAATTTTTCCTTTCTCTTTGAAGTGTTACTAGCTGTTGGTCTACTTTGCAAAACTACTTTGTTTGGCCTTCCAAAAAAGGACACAACTAGAATCAGTGGTTAAGTTGTATTTACGACACTGTTCCAGAACAGTTCAACCCAAATATTTGTGTGTGCAGGACTGTTTCCTGATCCTGGGAGAGTAGACTACAATGCCGGCTGTTCTGACTCACAGACTGTAAGTACATTTACATATTTAAAGGATTTGCCACTGATGATTCAAACCCGAGTTTTGAGCAGTGTAGAGTAGCGCTTGTTGTTTGTCATTTCTCCGATCACAAATGATGCAACGCAACGCGTAAAAAGACAGTATAAGTCATTATAATCCATAATTATGTCCCCACTGGATGCAACGAATGCCTCGTTTATAATGGCTTTTAATGTTTTTGTCCCGTCGCTCTGGCCTGACAGGGC